CGCCGACTGCCCCTGCTGTGCGTGGCCGTGGGGGTCTCGCGGATTTTTCGCAGATCTGCGCGCAGCAGCCGCGAATGCCCAGTGGCACTTTGCAAAGGGCGGGAGAAATCGAACGAGAGTGTCCCGACGCGCCGACGCCATAAACCGCGCGAGGGCCATTTTCGTTGGCTCGACGCTAGTGCATTCGATCTCGACTTTCCCTCTTTTTCTCTTTCGCGAACGAGCGATCATCATCGGCTCGCCGTCCGTTCGCGCGTCTCGTAGTAGCGCTAGATGTGCAGCGAAACTCAAGATTGCGGCAGATACGCGTCATTCCCGTCATTCACTCGAGACGCTTCCGAATTTGATCGTTCAGTGGGATACTTGTTTCGCCTTTACTTCGACTCGGTGGCAGTTCTGCTATTCGATTAGCGGATTGCGGTTGGCTATTTGATTTTGAAGCTCGATTAGAAGAATCGACGTCACGAGCAAGGTGCCACGCGAATCCCTCGGAGTTGATCAATGAGTGACTTCCACCGGCGTCAAGTATTTCGTAATTTCCACTGTGAAGCTTGAGAGAGTGCACGACGTGGCTAGGTTTATCGTAAACCGTTTGCGCTGCGCTTTACACTACGGTGATTGTTATCAGTATTTATTTGATTACTCACGAAACGTCGCGCGCGTTTCATAACCGGCAAGACAAGAGTGAGCTCTCGTTATCGTTACTTCCGGTCAGCATTTCCAATTTATCGTGAAAACGCTGAATCAAAGCTGAATGAGAGAAAGCACAACCGTGAGAGTTATTGAATAACCGAGCCAAGAATACTACAATCGATGAGGTCATCTAAGTTCTTTGTTGGAAAAAACTAAGTAAGCGAGAGTGAACTTATCTTCGAAGTCTGAGAAAAGTAAAACAAACCCGCATACTTCGAGAGTTAACAATACCCGCATATACGACAGTTTCGAATGCAAATGGAAAAACCTCGTGCACAGATCGCGCAAAGTAATCGTTGCGCAAAATACCATAGCTGTCGGTGCGTTGATTGGAAAACGACTGATTGTCTACGGCGCTATCACTTTTATTTCCAAGTTTCAGCCCTTTAAAGACCTATTGAACGTTAAGACATCACAATTCAACAAATATACTCTACGAAGAGCAAGCTCATTAGAAAAACAATCTAATCCAATTGACAACATAACGCGCCCTATATATACCGATACAGCTGCTCCATTGCCGACAGCGCCAACTTTCACGCGCGCGGGGCTAAATCAGACACACAGCGTCCGTGGGCATCGACATGTGATGGCAGAAATTGGCGTCGACGAGTCATCGCAATTTGAGCCCGAGAGGGGAAACATGCAGGATCGCGAACGATGCCGACGCCTCGTGCATGTGGCGGAAGGTCACCTCGTCGCGATGCTGAAATTCCTGTTGCCGCTTGCTCCGCGTCAAATTATTTTTCCGGGTGTACCTCGTTATCAATATTAATCGATAGGGGAAACTCCATTTTCTCTGCCAACGAATGCACAATGGTTCTATCTGGATGTTATATTTTTTGAAAGATACTTGACTCATTAACGTTAGGCAACAAAGAAAAGCTAGAATTATTCGTTTAAAGCGTTAAAGTTTTACATAAAATAATACGCAATGGAAATTAATTGACCGATTGGTCGTTTCAATGTATGTATATCACACATGTGATATCTTCAGATTTAGAAAGTCGAACTTCCGAGTTGGGCACGACGTTTCATTGATGGACGATTAATGCTCGGCTGACAAAAAATGCAGAGACAAGAAAAAGAAGCTTTACATAACTACGAATCGCGGGAGAGGTGAGCTACAAAGTCGATTCTTGAAATTTATAGCCGATAACTAAAGTTTCGCGGTGATACGCTACTTGCTTACTTGCTACCACTGCAGCAACGATAGTCGTGTCAATTCGACAGAATGGAGTTCATGTCCGATTAGATTTGAATCAGTGTGTAATGACCTAGTAATCCAGCAACAAGCATAGGTTACCGGGGACTTATGAAACGTAATCGACGGCAGTAACTCTCTCGTGTATAGCTAAAGTTTTCGCGTATAGCGGCCCTCTCGATGCTTCCACACAATTGCAACAGAGCGTAACAGGGTCGAGAAACGTTGACGCCTGTCGATGTTTTCCCGCGCGCGAAACGCAATTCAAATGAGCGTTCTTTCGAAACACAATCATTCGAGCTTTTACGAGAGGTGCTTGATATTTCGAAACAGCGAAGCCTGACGCTGATTTCTAGCTAGGCTCGAATTGTAGAAATTGCACCGGTACTTACTGAACAGGCGGCAGGTATGACGAGTGTGAAAAATAGCTCGGAGTCGAAACCACTTCGAAAGCCAGACGCTTCCGGCCAAATTAGAGCGATCGGAATAGTACCACAGTGCGAGTGTACCACGAGCGCGGAGCGGCTGTGGACAATGACCGCGTAGTAACGGGTCGCGCCGATGACCGAGCAACCGCTGCAGCTACATTGCAGCAGTCCGCACTTAGACTACATGAGCGGCGGCTCGGCCATTGGGGACGAGCGACCTCCACTTTCTCGCGCCTGCTGAACTTTTACGTAAGCAATGCACAAGCGTGCGCATGTGTGAGGCGAGCTGAGAAATTACGGATACCGTTTCTCCAGAATGTCATCTGTCGACCGTTTAGCACACAGAACTTGCCTTTCCATTGGCCGTCGAAGCTTTTTATTTTTACTTCGCCGGAGACGACGAGGGTTATATTTTACTGGGTGGCATTGCCGACGTTAGCCCTAACACATTGACGACATGTCGCGCGTCGCTCGGAAGAAACCGAACGACGGATTCTCGTCTCTTTCGAGAGTAACGTCTGCTGAACGGTACAACGACGTTGAGTCCAAGCATACGCCCCGGAGAGTGAATCTTGAAGTAATGATCACAGGTATCGCGCGTAAATTATTGTCAGGTGTAGGTCGAAAATTGACGCGCGGCGACCTCCCACAGCTGCTGCGGTATGCGCTAGTATACCCGATACGCGCACCGGATTCGCAAAGTAAAGTCAGTCATCAGTTTCTCTGCCACGAGAGGCGACGTAGCAATTGAAAAAAAAAATCATGTATACGAGCTCGCGCATTATCGTACGCGAGAGAATTAAGAAAACAGATTGGTCGAGCTTGTGCTGCAGTTGAAAGCGTGTTGCGCCGCAGTGCTAGATAGATACCGCCTTCGACTAATGTTAATCCGTAGAAGGCAATAATTATTCGAATGTTGCGAGAAAAAGCGCGTCGTATAATTACGATATATCAAGATATTAATGAGCTTTCAAATATTAAGAGCGTTTGCGATCGAGTATTTTAAATAAAAAGCAGCAAACCTTCTATGTATAGATCATCGTAATATATGTCAGTCTGCTTATCGCGTCTATTTATCGTGTAATACGATTGCGGATGGAAATTATGGGAAGTAAGAAGGCTCGCACGAGAGAGAGAGAGAGAGAGAGAGAGAGAGAGAGAGAGAGAGAATTAGAATTAGAATAAACTTTACTAAACCTTGGGTCACAACCTCGTGTGATTATAATGACATTAAAGAATAGCGAAAAATGTTAAATAAGAAGTGTGACAAGTAATTGCGCATTGAACAATATTATAGACTTAAAACTAAACTTAAGGCTAAAATCGCAAATACAGGTGTATAACACAGAGAGCGAGTTTATTGGAGGGGGAAGACAGAGTGCATTAGTTAGTTCTGGCTACAGCTTGGCCTTAATATGCATGCGAAAGACATCGTCAATGTAGCTAACAAAATTGAAGTTGATATAGCACCCAGGGACGTTTAAATAAGCCGACGTGTGCGTAAACGCGACAACGTTAAACGGACAGTAAATGGGAGGTAGCCGATAAAGAGATGCGGAGTTTTCGAGATTCCCGATGATGACTCTGATCTCGAGCTGCTGAATCTCAAGCGGGACAACCAACGCGATACACCCACGACTTAAATTCCCAGAATGAAAGAGGGAGAGAGAGAGAATGACATGGATTTATAAAAAAGTAAATGCGTATCGTGTCTTAAGTCACCGAATGAACCCTGCCGATACTTGCTTGCAACATGAAAAAAACAATTGTTTGCACATGCGTGGCTTACGAGATAATCATCGCAATTGTTTAAAGAGGTGAAACTTATGTAAATGAATCACGATCGCATCTCACAGCTAGATGTATCCTATATATTCCGATCAATTATTAGCTTGGCGTGAAAACAAATTGGCCCCGCACATTGTATTTTCCGAGTAACACGCAACATTGAGAAAAGCAAAAATTACTTACGTAAAATACGAGCAGTCTTGTAAAAAACACTCGTACACGACAAAATTAGAAGACTTGAAGAGTCAGAAAGAAGATAAAAAATCACACGCGAAAAGGAGGAGAATCAACCTGTCCATAGAAGAACCGACTGAAAAAGTCATCAAACGCCAGGCCATGAAAGGCACAGGCTTCGCGTCATGCTCAACTTGGTCACAATGTCGCATTTCAGTGCTTGCTGCTACTCTGAAAAGAGGCTTTCTACGTTAAGCGCGATTGACGAAAAACAACTGGAATGAGAATGAGGCAAAAATAAAAAAATAGTTATAAAAGATGGTTCACGCAAAGAGAGGAAGGAAGGAGATACCACTTATGCAAGAAATTCAAATGTACTCGTTCGTCACCGATAGTGCATTTCTCTTCTATAGCCGTTTTTCTATTTTTTTTTACTTCGACTTCACTGCGTATTTTAATTCTTACCTAAAGCTTTTTTTTTGTAGGCAATGGTGCTTCATTGGGCGGAAATTTCTAATTTTACCAGAAAAATGTACGTAATTAGAGTGTTAATGGCAATTGGTAATTGAATGCAGTCGACTGTAATTTTGTCTCTGAAAGAGTCATTAATCGTGAAGAATAAAAAAAAAACGAAAAAAAAGTTTCATTATATTCATTGCTACCAATTAGCTGGCAGTTATAATATCATTAAAATTTTATGTAACTATACTCACGAAACGAACAAAGTATAAAGAAAGTTTGATTACGCCTAGTAAGATGTAATCCACTAACCTAAAACAGAAATAAAAGAAAATTACAAATTATAGATTGTATTAATCAAAGAAAAAAAAAATGTAAGTCAAGCCGTTTTTAATATACATTGCGAAGCCTTTTCTGTTCCGCTTCAATAACGAATGCTTTACCGAACACTCTTAGGACTTCTGATAAATATACAAGCACGTGCGCGCGCGCGCGTATGTGTCGTTGGAAAAAGTTGCCGCAGCACGTGGTTTAAAAAACTTGGTCATTAAAAGCAACGTCACACTCTTTTATACATGTATAAATGACGCTCCGCTCTCTTTCTCACATCGGTAGCTTCCGGCTCAAGTGTGTGGCTCGTTTTCGGCGTGGACCGGTCGCGCTGAATAAACGAGGCGAAAAAGCAAAAAACAACGAACGGCAACAACGAATTGCGAAAGAAGTATGTGTCCACCCAGATTTAATGTAAGCCAGTGTGCCACGGCTGCGTGTCATTAGGCTCATGAGCGTCTTCATTACACGTGATGGGTTTTCATGCCTCGACTCTCTCACCTATATATTAAAGCGGGTCAGTCTTGATAGATACACGCGTTAGACGTATACACACACAGGCAACAAAAACATGAATCAAACGATCAGGCGCGGCATTTATCTACGGATGTGCTACGTTGGGAAATGCAAGTCGTGATAATGACCTGTAAATCCAACGTTTACGAATTTCATTCTACGCGGGGATGAGGATTTTCGCAATCCGTATATATATATATATAGTTCAGGCTGGAGAGAAGATCGTTATGTCACATTTGTCATGTGGGTCGTTCGTCGACTTCCGACATAGTCACGCTGTCCGGTATAGCTACTAGCCCCTGAAAAAACAATTCGAGCGTTAATTAATCGCGTGCCAATTAGCAACGTAACGATTCACATACGTCTTATTAATTGCGCGAAATTTTCGGCTAATTGAAGCGTGCGTATGCAGTTCCGTGTCGCATTGCTATTGTCGGACTGCCTGCATCTAAAAGTCCATGGAAAAATAAAACGAGCCTCCACTTTCATCGCTGCTTTCTCGCGTCACTGAGCTACAAATGCACGCGCGCGCTCGCCCGAGTGTATATAAGTTCAATGCCTCCGCTGCAGCTTCCGGCTTTCGTGCCACCTAATTCGATTCACAGCCAATTCAACACTGAGCAGCAGCATCAGTCGCTGCTCAGGCTTTAATTTGCTGTCTCTTTTTTTCCTACCGGTCAGCAGTATTCTAGCAGTAAAACGCATCGTTAAGCTTTTATTCTCCCTTCGTGTTCCCCCTGCATCGTTTTATGTATTTAAATTCGAGCAGGAAGCAAATAATAATAATAATAATAATAATAATAATAATAATAATAATAATAATAATAATAATAATAATAATAATAATAATAATAATAATAATAATAATAATAATAATAATAATAATAATAATAATAATAATAATAATAATAATAATAATAATAATAATAATAATAATAATAATAATAATAATAATTGGAGGAGTGCCGGAAGCAGACACGACAATGACAGGAATCTTACAAGGAAACCTGCGTAGGTGCGAGGCAGCCCAGCTGCTTATATCACAGACAGCGAAGGAACGAAACGTAGACATACTGATACTGAGCGAGCAACTGTGGGACTTACGAGAACAGGACGGCTGGTTCTCGAATACCCTCGGTACGTCGGCCATATGGGTCAAAGGCAAACCGGCTAGGAGAATACAAGCGTCTGGCAGGGGGGAAGATTACGCGTGGGTGAGGGTAGATTCCGTCACCTACGTTAGCGTATATTTGACCCCAAACTGCACGATGGCAGTGTACGAGGAAAAAGTCGGTAAGCTGGAAGACGCCCTCACAGGTCTCCCGGGTGACTTTGTCGTCGCGGGAGACATGAACGCGAGAGCGGTCGAGTGGGGTATGACAACGACGGACAAACGAGGAAGACTGCTTCTGGAAATGGCCGCAAGGCTTGATCTGGTAGTGGTCAACCAAGGGACGACAACGACCTATAGACGACCGGGCTTCGGATACTCAATACCCGATGTGACGATGACGTCAGACAGGATCTCGTCGCGGATAAGAGGATGGCGGGTGACCGAGGACTATACAGCCAGCGATCATCAGCACATCGTCTTTGAGGTGACAAATCAATCGACGAACATACGAAACGGACAAACTAGAGACAGGACTTCAACGTATTGGAACTTACGACGACAAGATAGAGAGCTGTTTGACAAACTGCTAAGGGAGGCACCGTTACCCGCCGAGTCTGTCCCGGCAGAGCTTGGTCTGCGGGAGCGTGCCGAATGGATAACGGACAAGACAACGGAACTGATAACGGAACTGTGCGACGCCACGATGACTCGACGCAAGGGCCGAACACACAAACGAGCAATGTACTGGTGGACGGACGAGATTGGCCTCCTCCGTGGGGAATGCATTGCCTGCCGCCGGAGGATGAACCGCGCACGGAAAAAGAGCAGACCAGACGCGGACGAACTATCGACAGCGTACAAGATGGCACGTAAGAGACTGACCACTAAAATAAAGGACAGTAAAAACCGATGCGCTAGACAGTTGTGTGAAGAAGTGGAGCGGGACCCCTGGGGACTTGGCTACAAGATTGTGACCAAGAAATTGGGGGCCCTTGGCCCTTCTGAACCAAAAGACAAAGACACCATGAAAGCAATAGTAGATGGACTTTTCCCAAACCAACCAGAGACGGAAGAAATGACGAACGAACAAGAGACGACAGTGCCAGAGTTTGTCGGGGCAGAGCTTATTAAGGCTGTGTCCACGATCAAGCCTGGTAAGACACCCGGACCAGACGGTATACCGGGAGAGATCCTCCAGCAGATCGTGAGCGTACGTCCAGGACTCCTCCTGGATAAGTATAACGCGGTCTTACGTGCGGGCATCTTTCCCAGACGATGGAAGACTGCTAGACTGGTTCTCCTGCATAAAGGAAAAGGAGAGCCGAATAGTCCGTCTTCCTATAGACCCCTGAGTCTTCTAGACACAGCGGGTAAACTTTACGAAGCGTTATTGAAACCAAGACTGACGAACGCGGTAACTGCAAACGGAGGACTTGCAGGAAACCAGTACGGATTCAGACGGGGCTGCTCAACTATAGGGGCGATTCGACAAGTGACCGACGCCTTTCGGCGGACGAGGCTCGTGTGCTACGGAGCGAGGCCAATAGTACTTCTCGCGACTCTTGATGTCAGGAATGCCTTCAACTCCGCTCGGTGGGGGGATATTCTGGAGGCCCTACAAACTTTCAGGGTTCCCGAATACCTGATGCGGGTGATGAGGGAGTACCTACACGACAGATGGATTCGATACGAGACGACCGACAGAACAGTGACCAGACGAATCACAGCAGGAGTCGCCCAAGGCTCAATCCTTGGACCCGACTTCTGGAACATACTGTACGACGCACTACTAAGACTACCGATGCCACCGGGGGTGGAGCTGGTTGCCTACGCCGATGATGTGGCTGTGGTGATAATAGCCCGTACCCCGGAGCTGGCGCAAATGCTTCTGAACCGCGCGATGTTACGAATCAATAGATGGATGACTGAACGCGGACTTAGCCTTGCCCTGGCCAAGACAGAACTCATCCTTCTGACGGGAAGCAGGATTAATACCCTGATTCCCATGACAGTCGGAGAGGTATCGCTGCGGACCAGTGGGGCGGTCGAGTATCTGGGGGTGACCCTAGATACGAAGATGACCTTCTGGCCGCACATACAACAGACAGCGAGGAAGGCGGCAGAGAGGACTTCCGCTCTCAGTCGTCTTATGGCAAATACATTTGGACCGAGACAATGGAAGAGACGACTACTGATGACAACGACCCACTCGATCATGCTCTACGGGGCGGAGGTGTGGGCCGACGCGTTGGGGGTCAAGAAATACTGCAAACGACTGACAAACGTACAAAGACAGGGAGCACTGAGGATAGCCTGCGCCTACAGGACAGTCTCGGCTGAGGCTGTCCTGGTGGTGGCGGGGGTTATCCCGATAAACATGCTCGCCAGAGAGCGGAAACGCGTGTACGAACGAAACAGCGACATGACCAGAACGGAAGCTGCCCAGGACGAAAGAACTAGGACGATGACGGACTGGAACAAACAATGGAGGATGAGCACGAACGGAGCATGGACTAGACGACTCATTGACGACCTGAGACCGTGGACGGAGAGGCAATTTGGGGAAGTGAATTTTTACCTGACCCAGTTTCTTACCGGCCACGGGTACTTCAGGAAATATCTGTTTGACAGAAACAAAGTTAACAGCGCCGACTGTAAATACTGTGGATACAAATGTGATGACGCAGAGCATACATTTTTCAAATGCTCACACTGGAACGACGAAAGGCAAAGACTGGAGACGACGCTTGGAAACATCACGCCCAACAACATTGTGGCAAAGATGCTACAAGACAAAGACTACTGGACGGTAACGGCAACGTACGTTGAGACTATCCTACGAGGGAAAAAGGCGGACGGTTGCCTGGAAGTCGAGTGTTAGACGAGAAGAATGCGGGAGTAAATGGTATGAACAAATGGATGAATGTGAATAAACGGACGTAACGAAACGATACAGGACCCGTGGACAACGAGAGGACTTGACGCGGTTCTCCAGCGGGAAGTAATGCTTACGCGGTTCCCCGCTGGAGAATGGTGTAGGTGGACTTTACTACTCTTCCCCGGATGGTTTACCCTCCGGTTGAAGAGAAGCGGGATTTGGGCGGTCAGCTGGTCTTCGACGACCCGGAGGCTCCTTGCGTTCGATTGATAGATCGCTTGAAACAGCCCGGTCTGAGAGGATCAGCGAGTCACGTCACACGGCGGGTGGGAGAGTGTAGGTGGGTAGCTTCGGTGAACTGCCGTCACACTCCAACCGTTATGGTCCATGAGGATTTATCCTGTTTTTTTACCACCATAAAAAAAAAAAAAAAAAAAAAAAAAAAAAAAAATAATAATAATAATAATAATAATA